AACACAAATGGATTATAATAAGAATTTGATTAACCTAAATCAGTTTTAGCCTGGAGATATTTGGGACCATGGAAAAGATCAAGTCCCTTTGGCAATCCAAAAATCTCAGGAAAAAGGATGGGGTTTTGATTCATGATAGCAACAAGGAATATTGCACTATAGAGTTTGGGTTTTTATCTAATAACAATATTCCAATGATTACTAAGTCTGATACTTATCTTATATATATTTCTCAAGTTGCACTTAACATTTTTATTAAGAAAATAGGAGTACACAGAATTGTATAATAAATTTCCATATACCCATCAATTGCCAATATATTATCAATTTTGTGTCATCAGTTCCCCCACTTTTTCTTTGTCTTCTGGGAAGATTTAAAGCAAATTCCACATAAATTATTTATAAATACTTCAGTATTGACCTCTGTTAACCTATTTTTGTGTGAACATGAAAATAATAACTATAGATCCTAAAACTTAGATGGGACTTTACAAAGTGCCTTATCACATTATCACAAAAAATTATGGATATTATCATCATTATTGAAGCAGATATAAATCCCCAGAGAGTTTGAGTGGTTAAATAATCTCAGGTCCTACTGAATAGTGACAATGGCTTTCAAACCTGGGTCTTCTGCAGATACTTAACTTAGTTGTACACTGCAACGTATACGCCTGTATTAAGAAAAAAGCTATTCCCTGGGTATTGACTTCCACTGCTCTGAATACAGCCTCCTTTCCTTTGGTCCTGTGATACCTGGGGATCAACTAAAGAAAACTGAGGAGAGAGAGAGAAAAGTGGCCATTGGAGATCGTTTTAAACATGCCTTTTTAATTCTAATGTTTTGATATCTCAGGCCTTGCCGACCCTGGAGAGACTGACCTGGAGAGACCTTCTAGGCCTTCATCTAGAAACAGTAAAGAATTACCCTGCAAGTTTACCTTTATACATTAACAATTAACCCAAAGCTCATATCCCTTCTTTACTGGGCTCTTATATTCTAGGTCATTATCTGCCCATCCTAATCATCGCTGCACCAGACACCAGATGACTAGGGATAGACTGTCTTCCTGGTCTCCACAGAAACTGTTCCAGTGCAAATCTACCTACTCTACCATTCATATTTCTTCCCATGGAAACCACAATAAAGGCTCTTGCCCACATTTCCGCTCAATAATTGCCTCCTGACAGACCATGGTGCTCCCTCCATGGCCAAGTGTGGTGTGTTGTGCACTTCCTTTGGGGAATTGTGTTTATAGCAAGCTCTTTTCAATAGTAGTCTTCTCCCAATCTGTTGGTCTCACCAGATCTGGAGAATGATAAGTCCTACACTTAAAAACAAGATGAGCAAAGCTGAGTAAAATTTGGTGGGCATTACTTACTTCAGGAAGACCTTGCAAACTAGTTGGAAGTAGGTGAGGTCCAGGGTTGGGTATCAAGTTGGCAATCAAACTGTACCTGAACAACCACTGAGGACACACAATGAAATCTACAGCACATGAAAACATCATAGTTGAATAGCAATAGGCAACCATTCAGTCCTCCTGTATGCTGGTGGAGATGGGCTGAATTTCAGGGGGAACCCTAACTTTTGTTAGGTAAGAATGTCATCTCAAATATTGTGCATGTCCCCACAACTGTAGGAAGGCAGTGTTCTCTTGCATTCTCATCAATATTTCTTTCCATCGGCCACCATTCCTGGTGGACTATTGACATATATAAGTGAGGTTTTACCTCAAGTTGCCTCTTCTTTGAGTCTTCAGTTCTTGAGTTACCTCTTGCATTTCCAGTTTTATTTCCATTTTCAGCTTGAATTGTAGATCTGTCAGAGACCTTAGAGCCAAGCCCAACATCCTCATTTTACAGATGAGGATCGTGAGATTGAGCAAGGTGAAGGAACACAGCTAAGTCCTAAGAACACAGGATACAGCAGGTAGTCTAAAGTATGGGCTTTGTGATGTGAAGTACTCATTCTCTTCCTCTACTGATAATTTTATTATTTATTTATTTATTTTTTAAGATTTATTTTATTTATACAAGGACTGGGGTACAGGCCAGAGGCGTGAGAGGGTGAGAGGATTCACCAAAGTCAGAGCAGGGAATAGAACAGGCAGACTGATGAAATACACTGCTGAGGGGAGCAGCGGGCGAGACAGGAGAGGTCTGCTTGTCATGTGGGTTTCTCTGAGGCTGGTGGGGATCGAACAAGCACTGTAGAGGCTGCAGACAGCTTCACAGTGCTGTGTTCAACCACCTGCACCACCAGGGAGCCCCTATACTGATAATTTTAAATAAAATATGAGTTTTATTCACTATAGATCATATCTCACAATAACAATTTCTAGTGGACCATGAGTTAGTTGAATGTAGCACTGACAATATAATAAAACATTTATTTAAATAACTAGGAAATTTGTTACTTCCTTATGAAAAACGTATGTACTGGTTTGTACTTATTTATCATAATTCTGACACACTTGCTAGATTTTCCTTTCTGGCTTTGCTTACATATACACAAATACACTCAAACACCGACAAATGTACAACATAAACATGCTTCTCATCCTAATACTCATTCCCCTATCCCTATTGGTTTAAAAAAAAAAAAAAAACTTCTAAACTTCTAACTCAAATGAAGATGGATGGGACAATAAACTACAGACCATATGTTAAAAGATCCCATAAAAATGCATTAATTATAACATGAATTGACTGGAGTAATATCCAGAATGGATACTATTATTTTAAAGAGGCATTTTATTATTTTTGTACTGGTTCTGGGAAATATATGATTAAAGTTTAATTATTCAATAATGAACTCACTTATCTAAAATCATGAACCCAGGACCCATGTGTCCTTGCTAACTATTGAAGTGACCTGGACATCATTAGGAAGATTCCTGAGGCGAGTGATTCTCAAAACAGAATCACTTGGAGGTCTTACTCAACCACAGGGTGACTGGGCCCACTCTCAGAGGACCTGATATAATAGGTCTAGAATGGGTCCCATGCATTTATATTTTAAAAGGTATCTTCTGATCCAGGAACAACATTTGGGAGCTGCTGACTCAGGATAGCATTTACTTGCAAGTTATACCAAAAAGGGGCTGGTGGGAGTCTCCTGATTCCTCCAGACCAACTCATGGCCTTGTGGCTTTATCCCAAATAGACCACATATTATTATCTTCTCTGAGCCCAGATTAAGACCTGAAATTTTCTAGGAGGAATCTCTTAGAACACTTGCAAGTAGTAACCCAAGTCAGACAAATATGTATGAAAAACACACCAAATAGCATCAGCTTGAGAGTAGATCCACTAACACCTGCATTTTTGAATGCATTAAAATAATCAGACATGTTTTATATATCCTCTGAGCAATTTGGGAATGAGGGACACTTCCATATTCATGTCTACTAATCGTTTGTAGGAAATACAAAAAAAAGATTTGATAAGTCTCTGCTGCCATGAAACATGGTTCTCCTGTAATATAGGTGTCACTAGCTCATATAAGGTAGTGCCACCTCCAGGGTAAGTTGCCTTTAACTATATATGCTATTGTTAATTTTAGTGTATTGATATAGTTGATCCTCAAATTGTGGATTCCATATTTGCAAACTTGCCTATTTGATAAAATTAATTCATGACCCCAAATCAATACAGTTTCTGATGCTATTTGTGGGCATGTGCAGAGGTGATTTTGATTTTCCCAAGGTATTTGTTCCTAGCTGAGCACCAACAAAGAAAGCCTCTGCTTTCTTGTTTCGGTTCTCATACTGCAAAGAAATGTCCCTTTCACAGTCTAGTTAGTATCATGATTTTCACATTTTTGTGCTTTTTATTGGTGATTTATTTACTTTATATTTTTTCTTTATTAGCTAACAGTGGTTTACAACACTGTATTTGATTCAGAAATACAGGCTTCCACCTCTTAGGTGTTCCTTACCATACCTTGCCCACCACCAAGGCACCCACAGTCCTCCACCATAGTCCATTGTGCCCCCCTTCTCTCTCCATGCTGCCCCTCCCACTCTGGTAGCCTCAGTTTTTACTACCCTGAGTGCTCCTGATCTCCCTTGATTTTGCTGTTTAAAATGTCCCCCAAGCCACTGAAGTGCTCTCTAGTGTTTCTAGTCACCAGAAGGCTGTGAAGTGGCTTTTGAAGGAAATATGTGTCAGATTAATTTTGTTCAGGCATAATTTATAGTGCCATTGGCCATGAGTTCAATGTTAATGAATCAATAACATATCTTAAATAAGATGCCTTTAACTAGATGAAACAAGGTGATCAGTTGACCAAAGTGCTATTTCCAGAGGGTTGTGAAAGCTAACCCTCTATTTCCCCTTGCAACAGTGATGGAGCAGGTGCTAATCCAGGTTTGGCAATGGTTTTATAGACATGACTATCATGAATGAGAACAGATATGACTTGAATTTGCTGAGGATATCATGCTTAGTGAATTTTATTCATCTGCTGATTAAATTTACCAACTTATTTCATGCTATCAGCACTATATATTTATTCACTTCTCAAATATGACATTAAAACGCAGACTTTCCACCATGAAAAAGTAAAAATGTCACCTAGGTGACTTTCAAATCTGCTCACGTGCAGTGGACCAGGGAGCACTGGATGATTTTTTTTTTTTTTTTTTTTTTAATTTTCTAGAGGCATGTCTTATTTATTTATTTATTATTTGTTTGTTTGTTTGGTTTATACATGCACTGGGTACAGTCAGAAGCGCGGGAGGGTGAGAGAATTCACCAGAGCCAGAGCGGGGAGTAGAGCAGGCAGAAGGACCGAAGGACACTGCTGAGGGGAGCAGCGGGCGGCAGGAGAGGTCTGCTCGCCATGTGGGACCCTCCTCCGGTGGCCGGGGAGCAGCCGGGGATTGAACCGGCTGCAGAGGTTGCAGGCAGCTTCGCAACCCAGCGCTCAACCGCTGCGCCACCGGGGAGGCCCAGCACTGGATGATATTTAACTGGCTTTTTTCCTTCCTTAGTCTCCACAAAATAGAAGTCTTTGGTTGTCTTGGTCTTACAGCCAGGAGTATAGACTCCCTGGCCCTGCGATGTCCACACTTAAGGACTCTGAACATCGGGAGAGTCCCCCAGGTTTCTGAGGCCTGCTTGATCAGGATCCTGAAGAACTTACCAGAAATGACTGCCCTTAATGTTGCTGCCCTCAAAACGGTGAGAACTCTTGGACTCATATAGATCTTTTCAATGTCTTCACTTTCCTACTTTGTCAGAAAATGAAACTATTTTTATTAATTATATTTACTTAGGTAATGTTGATTTACAACATTGTATATATTTTAAGGTGTAGGTTCATACCTTTAGAAATGGATGTTCTCACACCATACCCATTATCAAAGCACCAAAAATCTACTATAGTCTCTTGAGTGCCCTGCCCCCTTTGTTCCTGACCTCCAAACTCCCCTCTTGGTAGCCTCAGTTCTTTGGTCAGATTTCAAGGATTTGTCTGTTCCTTTGCCTTGATTATTTTTTTTTATATTCCATATATGAGTAAAATCATCCAGTATTTGTCTTTCTCATTCTTTCTTATTTCACGTTAGCATAATAACCTCCAGTTTCATCCATGTTGTCTCAAAAGACATGATTTCGTCTTTTTTTTTTTAATCTATCTATACACATTACTTCTTAATCCACTGGATTACTTCCACTGGATTACTGGATTACTGGATTAGTGGATTACTTCTTAATCCACTCATCTGTCCTTGGGCAGAGAATTTGGCTATTGTAAATAGCATTGCAATACACACAGGAATGCATATATCCCTTCAAACAGGGGTTTTTGTATTCTTTGGGTAGATGCCTAGGAGAGGAATTGCTGGATTGTATGGTAGGATCTATTTTTAAAGTTTTGAGAAACTCCCATACTGTTTACTATAGAGGCTAGAGTAGTCTACATTTGTACCAACAGTGTGTAAGGGTTCCTTTCTGCCCACCTTTCCAACATTTGTTTTTTCTGGTCTTTCTGATATGGGCCAGTTTCACAGGTGTGAGATGGTATCTCATTGGGGTTTTGTTTGCATTTCCTTGATGATAAGTGGTGATGAGCATTTTATCTGTGACTGTTGGCCATCTGCATGTCTTTTTTGGAGAAATGCCTTTGACTCTTGCGCCAATTTTTTTTATTGGGCTTTTTGTAGTGTTGTGTGGATATTAGCCTTTTGTTGGATTTATAATGTACAATTTTCCCCATCATTTGGTTGACTTTTTGTTTTAATAATAGTCTCTTTGGTTATGCAGAAACTTTTGAAATTGACAAATTCCCATTTATTTTTGCTTTCATTGGAGTCAAGTCCCCTGAAGCCAATGTTGTTGAGTGTTTTGCCTGTTTTTTTTTTCCTATGTATTTTATAGTTTTAGTCTTATAGTCATGTCTTTGATCCTTTCTAAATTACTCTATGTCTATAGTGTGAAATAGTTGTCTAACTTCAAAAACTCTTATTCTACAGTGGTCTTCTCACATCATGAAGTCATATTCTGAAATATACATTTGAAGGGGAGAAGAACCCATATTTTAGAAAGGGTTTGCACATTGGATTATGACTACACAAAAGAAGAAGCAGGAGGAGCAAATATGACTTTCCTCAGGAAACATTGCTATTTAGTTATGGATTAGGTAACGGATCTAAAAGTTGACCCAATAAGAAAATATTTGCACATCATACATCTGACAAAGGGCTGATATCTAAAATATATAAAAACTCAGGCAGATAAACACAAAGACAACAATGAACCCAATAAAAAATAGGGCAGAAATGGTAAATAGTCACTTCTACAAAGAAGATACATACATGGTCAATAGGCACATGATAAAATTCTCATTATCACTTATCATCAGGTAAATGCAGATCAAAACCACCATGAGTTAACCACCTCACACCTGTGAGGTGGACCCATATTAAAGTCATGTGAGAAAGACCCATATTAAAAAGACCAGAAACAAGTATTGATGAGGATGTAGGGAAAAAGAATCTTCTTACACTATTGGTGGGAATATAGAGTGGCCCAACCTGTATGGAAAATAGCATTTAATTTTCTCAAAACTTTAAAAATAGATGTACCATATGACCCAGCAATTCCATTGCTAGGTTTCCACCCCCAGAAGCAAAAATGCTAGTTCAGAGGAATATGTTTATGCCTATGTTCATTGTAGCCCCATTTGCAATAGCTAAGTTATGGAAACAACCTAAAGGCCTAAGGACAGAGGAGCAGATCAGAAAAATGTGATATATATTTATACAATGGAATACTAGTCCACTATAACAAAAGATGAATTCTTGCCATTTGTGACAACATGGGTGGAACTGGAAAGCTTAATTCTGAGTGAAATAAATCAAAAGGAGAAAGAAAAATACCAAATGTTTTCACTTTTATGTGGAAATATCAGACAAAACCAGACCAATAACAAAACCTTTACATCTGACTGCAAAACTGAGACAAGCAGAAGGGGAAGAGTGTTGAGGCGAAGTGGTAGAGGGAGGGGGCCCAAAGGAGCATAGTGGGGAATTATTGGGGCTTTGGTAGTGGTCCTAGTGTAAACACATACATTTATAGAGGTTTCAATCTATGACCCCTAAAATGATGCAACTATATATACCAACTTTGCCTCAATAAACATAATTGGAAATAAACAACAGTCCAACATTTGAAACATCTCTCATCAAATAAAATCACTGACTTATGAAAAAAAAATATATTATCTCTTATTTGCTCGATAATTTTATTGAATTATTATATTGGTTCAATTACAAGAATGGCAGATCCTGTTAAGGGATCAACTTTTATTTCCAATTATGTTTATTGAGGCAAAGTTGGTGTAATAGTTATGTTAGGAAACTGAGGCAAATGCAATCACTGATTTCTATTAACCGTATATAAAGAGATGACTACATTTTAATGTGTTAGATAGGTACACATTTTTAAATTTTATTTATTTATTTATTTATATTTTTTTACATCATTGTTCATTTTTAAACAGTATTTGCTTCCCCTCACCCCCTCAGGTGTAGTCCCCATAGAGTTTCCTTCACCAATACACCTGTACAACAGCACCTCAGTCTCCTGTGCTCCTCCCTCCCTCCCTCTGTTCCCTCTCTCTCTTCCTTCCCTGCAGGATGTCTCTGATTTATAATTGTCCGGTTTTGCTTTGTTGTGTTTTGTACTGTTATTATTTTTTTTACACTGATGTCTTATTTGGTTCCCCTATATTCCTGCTATAAGTGAAACCATCTGATATTTTTCTTTTCCCTTCTGGCTTATTTCACTGAGCATAAATCCTTCCAGTTCCATCCACATTGCTGTGAATGGCATGAGTTTATCTTTTTTGATTGCTGAATAATATTCCATTGTGTGTATATGCCACATCTTCTTGATCCAGTCATCTATTTGTGGGCATTTGGGTTGTTTCCAGGTTTTACCTATTGTAAATAGTGCTGCAATAAACATAAGTGTACAGGTGTTCTATTGAATCAATGTTTTCGTGTCCTTTGGTAGATCCCTAGCTGTGGAATTGCCAGGTCATATGGTAGCTCCATTTTTAGTAGACTGAGGAAACTCCAGACAGCTTTCCATAGTGGTTGGACCAGTTTGCACTCTCACCAGCCATGTAGGAGAGTTCCTTTTTCACCACATCCTTGCCGACATTTGTTGTTGCTTGTTTTTTTGATATGTGCCATTCTTACTGGCATAAGTTGGTATCTCAATATGGTTTTGATTTGCATTTCCCTGATGATAAGGGATGTTGAACATTTTTCATATACCTGTTGGCCATTTGCATTTCCTAAATAAGAGATAATATTAATGATAACAGTTATCATATATTGAGCCCCTCTCATATGCAAGGAACTATACAAGGTACTTGTTACACATATTATTTATTAACTTCTTATCTTCTCTGTGTGAAAAGTAGCATTATCTCTAATTTATAGAGAGAGTTGCTAAGATTTTTGGAGTTGAAAGATATATGAATAGGGCCTCCCCGGTGGCGCAGCGGTTGAGCGCTGGGTTGCGAAGCTGTCCGTGGCCTCTGTGGCGCCGGTTCGATCCCCTGCTGCTCCCCGGCCACCGGAAGAGGGTCCCATATGGCGCGCAGACCTCTCCTGCCGCCCGCTGCTCCCCTCAGCATTGTACTTCGGTCCTTCTGCCTGTTCTGCTCCCCGCTCTGGCTCTGGTGAATTCTCTCACCCTCCCGCGCTTCTGACTGTACCCAGTGCATGTATAAACAAACAAACAAACAAACAAATAAATAAATATGGTTTCTGTCTATAAGGAAGAAGGGAGTCTGACTTCTCCTTCCATATAAGATTAGCCAAAAGGTGATTTGCAGTCATATAGCCTGGTTTTCACAAATTGAGTGTTTACTGCAATTTTATGAATTTGGAGTGGACAGTACTTCTGGCAGAAAACAGAAGGTCCTGACAATTTTTGATACTGGTGGATTAGAAGCCATTGGAAAGATGTTGTGACATAAGCAGTTAAATTAAAATTTTTATGTGCTTGCTCTTTTCTCTTCTACTAGTTTCCCCTTAGGCTCTGATGTGTTCTCACCTTGAATATTGCTCTGAATAAAGAAATGAGAGAAAAACAATACCACATTTCTTTTCCTTTTTAATCAAAACATTATATCCTAAAGGAAATTCTCCACAGAAGTTGACACACTGGGCCTCTCCTGGTGGTGCAGCGGTTGAGTGCTGGGTTGCGAGGCTGCCCGCAGCCTCTGCAGCGCCACTTCAATCCCTGGCCACTGGCGAGGGTCCCACAAAAAAAAAAAAAACAAACAAACAAACAAAAAAAGAAGTTGACACACTGGTCTCATCTTACTTGATGACACAAATAGAAATGTTTGGGAAAGTTATTCACACAAACTCAAAATTCTGGGAAGATATGAGTTCTCATTCTTCATCTGTTTTTTCCTTAAAACAAATGCACATCACAACAATAGATTAATCTTACTCAATTTCTAGACATTCACTTTTAATCCTAAAAGCTCCCAGATTAGCAGAATATGTGCCATGCTGTATTACTCTGACACAAAGCTAGCACTCCTCAAACGAGAACTATTAGTGTTATGATTATGGTGATGATGATTATAACACACCTAAGCAGATGCATATTTTTATCTTTAACACACTTGATTTAATGCCAGGTCTTCTCTGTAGAAAGCCCTGTGCTTGAAAATAAAGTCTCGCTTATTTCTTCCCATAGGTGAAGGATGGGATTGTCCATCTCATCGTGACTCACTGTCCCAAACTGGAGAGTCTTGTCCTCAGCTCCTGCTCTCAGGTGACTGATATGAGCTTGGTGGAAATCAGCACCTATCTGAAAGCTCTCAGGTACTTCCTCCTCTACGAGCACCCTAACCAGACTCCAGCAAAGTTTCACACTGCTCTTTAGACTGTAGCTTTGGTCTCTTGATTTTCCTTTATTTAAATCACCAGAATAGTTAATACATGTCTGTTTATGAATAAAACAGGAAGGAATGGTTGCATGGTCTGGGATGAATGAGATTTTGCTTACCCAAATATTTTTTTGAAGGGGAAATTTATATGATTTTAACAACAACACTGTGGCCATTCTATACTACTCACTCTCATTATCAACAAATGGTTCTACTGATTCTTCCTTTCACCATCAAATATGAGGAAGCACTAGGATGGTGTGAAGTGGTAAGGGAGGCAGGATAGTCACAGAGGCAACACCCTCCGTGATGGAACCCCATAAACCCATAATATTCATCAGAGAAAGGCCTGGTTTGAAAGGCAATATTCTAAAGTCTCTGCTTAATTTAGCCACATCTCCTGATCTTTTTCTTTTCTTTCTTTTAATAGAAAATTACAGAATTATAAAGATAATGATGAATGACCTTATTTTTACATATGGTGTTGATATCCTCCATATTATTAGTCTCCAGTTACCACTGCTGCATAATAAGCCACCCCAGAATTGAGTGGTCTAAAGTAACCATTTTATTAAACTCATCAATTCTGTGAATTTGGATAGGGCTTATGTAAGAAAGCTTGTTTCTGTTACACAGCGATTGGGACCTCTGCTTGGAAGACTCAAATTTGGGGTTGCTTAATGGTTGTGTCTAGAATCACTTTGAGGCTTTGTCACTTGTCTGCCATAGGGGTGACCTGAATTCTGGACTCAGCCAGTAATTTCAACTGGACAACCTACATTTGCCTTTCCATATGTTTTGGGCCTCCTGACAGCTTGGCAGCCTCAGGACAGTAAGGCTTCTGACGTGGTAGTTCAGGGCTCTCACATGAATATTCCAGGAAACAGGGAAAGCTCTGTTATGCTGTATGAAATCGCCTTGGCATTCATGTACTATCATTTTCTCCATACTCTACTGATTGAAGCAGTGATAAATGTCCTGGTTTACTAGAGGAGGGCACAGAGCACTCACCTCACAATTGGTGCCATGCCAAAAAATTGTGTGGTCATTTAAAAAAATGGTCACTGCCCATTCTATAGTTGAGGCACCCAAGAGTCTGAAAAGATCAATAACTTCTCATAGAACTTCAAAAATTTCTGAGCTAAAGAAAATCTTAAGATCCTTTAATATGAACACTTGTTTAAATAATGAGGCTATCAGGACCCAAAGAGGTGCTGTGACTTGCCCGTGCTTATGGAGCTAGAAGGTGGCAGGACTGGAATCACATCCTGGACCATCTGATTAACAAGTACACATGCCACATGAGTATTAGCAAATGAACAACATTCACTACAAACGCCTCCCTCCTTTTCTAGAACTCTGTCTCAGAAAAGAAATTTGAATGGCAAATGACACCAACAGTGGCATCAAAGACAGCACATAATACTGAAAACATGTGAGTCTAGGGCCTCCCCTGGTGACACAGCGGTTGAGCGCTGGGCTGCGAAGCTGCCCGCAGCCTCTGCAGCGCCGGTTCGATCCCCGGCTGCTGCCCGGCCTCCGGAGGAGGGTCCCGCATGGCGCGCAGACCTCTCCTGCTGCTCCCCTCAGCAGTGTATTTCATCAGTCTGCCTGTTCTGTTCCTCGCTCTGGCTCTGGTGAATTCTCTTACCCTCCCGCGCTTCTCACTGTACCCAGTGCTCGTATAAATAAATAAATAAATAAATAAATCTTTAAAAAAAACAAAACAAAACATGAGAGTCTAGAGTAATGGCTGGGAAATCCATCAATATGCTACCTCTAATAATATTGCCTTTGATTTGATTAGTGCTATCACAGCACACATAGATGTAATCACTATAATAACTTTAAATGTTGTCATTATTCTTTTTTTTAAAGATTTATTTTTATACAAGAACAGGGTATGGGCCAGATGCGCGGGAGGGTGAGAGGATTCACCACAGACAGAGTAGGGAACAGAACAAGCAGACTGATGAAATACACTGCTGAGGGGAGCAGCGGGCGAGACAGGAAAGGTCTACCATGCCATGTGGGACCCTTGCATGCCAGTCGGGATCGAACTGGCGCTGCAGAGGCTGCGGACATCTTCACAGTGCGGCGCTCAACTGCCTGCGCCACCAGGGGAGGCCCTGTTGTCATTATTCTTATTTTTCCCAAGGTAAATTGGAGCTCAAAGGAATTAAATAACTTGTTGAAATTTGCTAATTAGTAGATAGCAGTGCAGACCTCTACATCACATATCCTATGCTATTTTTTCCTGAGTGAGAAGTAAGGCAGGTATTGTAATTTCTCGAAATAAACCCTAGAAGAGAAGACTCTGGAGGTGATTTTTGTCTTAGAAGATTGAAGGGTTATAAACTGACTGCACAAAGTGACTTTACAGATGGAAGAAGAAAAGAGATTAATAATATAAAATATAAATATAAATATAAATAATAAAAGGTAACATAATATTATTACTATATCTGTAGAATTTTTATATAAGCTCTTCCTTATTATGAAAACTGAAGTTATCTTTGTTCCTGCAAACATTTCACACTAATTTCTCAGATATTTTTTCATTCAGAAAATTTTGATACTTTAAAATGCTTGAATGAAACCTGCAAAAATATTTGAGCTTTATTTGGACTCTGCTCATAGAAATCTTACTTACATTATCTTTAACGGTTTTCAAGTCAATGCTCATAATAAAAAATTCTATAAAAATCTAAGTTAGGCTAAACATGTTTAGAAACTTAGAGCTCATGGTGCTTAACAAAGAAGATGTGGGGAGGGTAGAAGTTAGAGCTCTTTCTTAGTTGAAGAAAGTGAGACTTGGAGCAATTCACAAGGTGATCGATAATGCATTGGTATGTCTTTTTCATAACAGCCAATTCCATTCAACTATCCCCTCAGCTAGTGGGCTAAATCTGAAGTTAGTGTTTCTCTACATAGAAGCACCAACTCTTATTCTATTAACCAGAAGAGGGAAGTCTCATTATGTAAAGTCCCAACTAAATTAGTTTTATTTAAATTCTACAGGTGTCTTGATGTGAGTGGATGCCGGCAGGTAACCAATGCAGGAGTTCATGCATTGGCAAGAAGCTGCCACCATCTCAAGTGTCTGGACCTAAGCTCTACAGGAATAAGCAAAAGAGGGTAGGAAATTTGCAGGTTAACCTTTTTTTGTACAGTTTCTTGGGGAAATGAATCATGAGCTAATTATCCATTTTAGTTTATCATTTTTATGGACACCCTGTGAGTTTACAATGTAGAATATGACATAAAAGGCCAGAAGGAACCTAGAGATTCTTGAAAGGGAAATTATACAAATTTATTTATGAATGCAATAAAATATGAAATATTGACTTTTGTATAAATGATAAATTGAAATACTATAAATGAAGTGAAATATGAAATATTGATATTTATGTCATGCTAAATTAAAATATAAATGGGGGCAATTTATCTAATCAATTGAGGGGAGGGTTATTTGTCAGGAGGGACATAAAAATAATATAGTGTCCATAGTATTGTATGAACTGCTCCAGAAACCTAGAATTAAAACGTGACCATATATCTTGATTGATTTCTTGTTTAAGCCATTCCTGCCTCATTTATAGAAAATCTATTTTCTTCCTGTTTGTCCTTCTTGCTAAATTTTCCTGGAACCTGGAGGCTTTAATATCTAAAGAAGAGTGTCTGTCCAACTTCCTCCAAGTGAAAGGACTGGGACTGGAAACTTATAAATGTACTACTGCCTTTGCTTCCTCCTACCCAAGGGATGATGTGAAGACACATTTTTACAGTTCCCAGGGTTTCCTGCTTCAGTGATGCTTATGAATTCAGATGTTCGTTGAAACCAACTGGGTTGACGTAACATTGTCTTATAATATCATATAAGTTTTAGTTGGGCATCACTGTATATCGACTTCTGTAGTTCACCACTAAAAGTCCAATTCTCTCTCTCACCATATAATTTAACAAATATAATTCCTGAACTCCAAGAATTTGTTCTCCTTATTCTTTTATTATTGGGCCTATTTAGTACACCACCAGTTCACTAGTTGGCGAGCTTTAGATCATTCTCAGTTTCTGACTTAAAGCATCTCCTCTGTTGAACATAGCAGAGGTCTTTGTTTGGAACATATGCAGAGTGTGAAGGTCACACTTGCATCATTAAGTACTGTTTGAAGTTTTGCTATTTTTTTAAAATGAGCTTAGATCACTTTATCTCATAAAAACTGAGGTTTTATATTTGCGAAATAATAATGGTTTACAACAACCAAATTAGAGAATGGACTTCATATTATAAGAAGTCAGTGGACTCCCCTGTTTCTAGTTATCATTAATATTATTAGTATTTTTAGTTTAAAGTGGGAAGGCATGATGATGGCTATGGCTCACTGGAAGCAATATTGCTTTCCTGGAAACATTATGTGATGTTCTTGTACCTATTTGTTGTTATTAGTATTTGTTTTTTTAAAATTTCAAATAAAAGACTTTTGTGGTTAGGTCTTCATTCCATGGAATGATAAAGCTATTTTCCTTCATTCCTGGAATAGATACAACAGCACAGTTCCTGTCATTTAATTTGTTTGGTGTATTTTAAATATGTCATAAATTCAAAATTGTTATCATGAGTTCTTTTACAGTGAGGCATAGGAAAAAATGTCCCTCATACAGATGAAAAATCTAAATGGCATACAGATCCTTTGAAGATGAAAGAGACTAATGGAGCTTTAAGAGTGGGTGAATTCTTGGAAAAGGATTTAGCCTCAGATAGTCCTTGATGAACTGCTAGGATTTAGATGGACAGACAAAAGGGAAAAATTGACAAGAGCAAATCCTTCCACTGGTGATACAGTTTAACAATTTTCTTTTGTTACAAATCCATCACGTAGGTTCCTACATGTCTGGTCCTAGCCACAATCCTGTCAAGAGGTTAGGACAGGTGTAAAAATCCCCACTGCTGAATATAACATTTTAAGCCAGGAAGCTACCTGAAAACTTTCCAAGTTAGGTACCACAGCATAGATAGAGATTAGACAGTTGTAGTCAGTCATCTGTTTACTTTTTTAATGACCTATACACTAAAAATAGTTATTACAACTTTAAATGGTTTATTTTGTTTAAAATGGTTATTTAAAATCCTATAGGATTTATTTGATTTTGTCTCTTAGTTGTGATCAAATCCGAATTAAATTTTGCAAAGTCTACAACATTTAGTGTCCAGACCTTTAAGAAGAAATATGCCAATCACTGATTTAGGATCTTCATAATCAAATAAAATGTTTTTAGTTTATTGTAATGAAAATAACATGGCACTCCAGCAATACACTTATATTTGGGTAATCCTATGAATATGCTTTTGCATTTGTCTGTTTTCTATCTAAACTTGTACCGTGTTCTCATTATGCATAATTGTTTTCAAAAACATTTTAATAGTTGCTTGCTATTCCAATATATAAATGCGATATAATTTTTTCAACATTATCTTTTGGTTGAACATTATTATTGGTTCTAATTTGATTTAGAAGAAATAACATAAAAATATCCTTGTACACAAATATTTGCATCTTTGATTATTTCATTGATGTATAGCCCTAGAAACAGAATTACTTATTCAAAAGTTATAAAGTGAACACTTTCAGTGATTTCAAATCAATATTGCTAAATTGCTCTCATAAAGTCGATAGAATTTATTCCTCCAAGAGTAGTGTATGAAAGTGTCTATTCTGACACTTTCTGTGTTCTCTGAAATACATCACCAACATGATATAAGGGGATTTTAATGTTTTTTTCTGAAGATTTTTTAACTTTAAAATTTTAAAATATTCTTAATGGCATTTTGCATTGTTTGATTTCTTTAGTATTTTGGGGGGTTTTCCCTTTTACTATTAAGATATACATTGTTTCATAGATTTATAAATAAAAATAGATAGGTATTTATAAATAGATATTTATAGATAGCATAGTATTAATGCTTGGTCTTCAAAATATTTTGTAGATATTTGTCCAAGTATAACATTTTATGAAAAGCTTTTCTTGATTTATCCAGTATATTTTAAGGTAGAATATATAAGTTTGTTTAAAATATACATGATTTAAAGCTTGCTACAATGATAATCACATGTAGTTCTTTCTTTCTTTTTTTTTTTTAAAGATTTATTTATTTATTTATACAAGCACTGGGTACAGTCAGAAGCGTAGGAGGGTGAGAAAATTCACCAGAGCCAGAGCGGAGAGCAGAGCAGGCAGACTGACAAAGAAATACGCTGCTGAGGGGAGCAGTGGGCAGCAGGAGAGGTCTGCGCGCCATGTGGGAAACTCGCCTGGCGGCCGGCGTTGCAGAGGCTGCGGGCAGCTTGGCAACCCAGGGCTCAACCGCTGCGCCACCGGGGAGGCCCCACATGTAGTTCTTAAACTCTTTTACTAGAGATAACATATGAGACAATCACTTATTGGTTTGGGAGAGTCACACAAAGCCCTTTATGATCCTCACCTATTCTAAGGTGGTATTTTATCAGGTAAACCATCAATGTTCTAGAGGAAATAGTGGTTGTAATTGTTTTTTTTCCTGCATGATGATGTATATATTAGAATATTAGCAATAGCTCTTAATGAAGAAAAGTAGGGTCATATTGAGTAGACATGAATACAAACTACCAAGTATTTTCCACTTATTTACTACAGATAAATAGACCTATACTTGAAGATCTCTGGGTCCATGAACTTCTGTTAGATTTACAAAATTGACATGTTTCTGTCCATTTTCTTTTTTTTAATTAATTTTTCTCCAGTTGTTTTTTTTTTTTTAAGATTTATTTATTTATTTATACAAGCACTGGGTACAGTCAGAAGCGCGGGAGGGTGAGAGAATTCACCAGAGCCAGAGCAGGGAGCAGAGCAGGCAGAAGGACTGAAGTCCACTGCTGAGGGGAGCAGCGGGCGGCAGGAGAGGTCTGCGGCCATGCAGGACCCTCCTCCAGTGGCCTGGGAGCAGCCGGGGATTGAACCGGCGCCACAGAGGCTGTGGGCATCTTTGCAAGCCAGCGCTCAACCGCTTTGCCACCAGGGAGGCCCTCTGTCCATTTTCTAATTCACCAATGTCATCCTTCCCAATTATACTTCTGTCCATTTTCGCCTTCATAATTTATTCAGCAATTGGTGGACCAAATAAACTTATCAGAGTTGTACTAAGTTTTATATGAGAAAAAAAGGAAACAGTCAAAGCAAATAGAAAGGAAGATACAATTTACTTGATTAAGGCCTTGAAAGTTGGTTTTAATTTGGGACCAATTTGCTATTTATGTTGAGGCCCTGTTGCAAATAGAAGTTCCCTCTGTCTCTGTTACCTTTCTTTTTACTTTCATTTGTGATGATCTGGATAAGATTATGGTTATGATCCATTTGATCAGTTTAATATGTACATTTTAATTTCAATTATAAATGGCTGCTGGAAATATAATGAAAAAAAGTGAATATGTTGGGGGTAATGACAAAGACACAAAGTTTTATTACTAATTTTGCCTTCTGAGGCAAAGTAGTTCCCTTGGGTGACACATAACTAATGAAAGTTTGTGATTAAACTACTGTAGAATCATAGTTTTTCCTGGGTTACAGAAGGTGATGGACTTCCATGAATGACAGAGAAGTCAGGTTAATTCCCTAGTTAGATTTCCTTCATTTTAGAAGGTGACTATGTCTCTAATTGTACTGATATGCAACAGAGGCTCCAGAAAGCTAGAGCTTCCAGGAGGACAGAAATTGCCACTTGGCAGAGGGAAGATACTTTTTTCATTCTGGCTTGTTTCCAAAGGCCAAGGTCACACTCATTAACATATAGAGAAGAGAATGACCCCAGACTGATGAGCTTATTCTGATGCATTTTCAGTATCTTACTGACTTTGAGATTCTAGGCAGTGTGTGTGTGTGTGTGTTTCCTGGTAACTATGGCAATGACAATGTCACCAGTTTTGTTGGTTCTCCTGGCACTTTCTTATAGGATTATCTGCTTCATGTCTCTTCCTCAGTGTCTTTCAATTATATATATATTTTTTTTTTTTTTTTTATAGAGGCATGCTTTATTTATTTGTTTGCTGGTTTGTTTGTTTGTTTTGTTTATACATGCACTGGGTACAGTCAGAAGCGCGGGAGGGCGAGAGAATTCACCAGAGCCAGAGCGGGGAGCAGAGCAGGCAGAAGGACCGAAGCACACTGCTGAGGGGAGCAGCGGGCGGCAGGAGAGGTCTGCGCGCCATGTGGGACCCTCCTCTGGTGGCCGGGGAGCAGCCGGGGATCGAACCGGCGCCGCAGAGGCCGCGCGTAGCTTCGCAACCCAGCGCTCAACCGCTGCGCCACCGGGGAGGCCCTCAATTATATTTTACCTTCGTTTCTTAAAGAAAACATTCATTGGATTCAAATGTTATCGCAAAACTAGTTACACTGCACTATTACTGCACCTCAGCCGGTACAGCAGTAGTTTATAGAGAGGTGATCGAGCTGGTAAATATATGACACCTGTCATATATTTGGACACTGGGTCTCCTTATATTATTACAGCTCAGAGAAGAACCTGGTCTATTTCAGCGGGATTGACTCAATTACAAGAGAAAAGTAATGTTCTAGTTTAAAAAGTGGGGGGACTTTTAAAATGATTGAATACTTTGAAAGGGAAGTGGTGCAGCCATACAGCACATGCCCTTATGCTGCTGTCCTTACAGTGAATTTGTTTTCTTAGAAGAAAACACAATTTGTGCAAATACAGTTCTTGTACTCATGAAAACACTCAACAGAAACCTGTGTCTGCATCCTTTGGCATCACCATGAATTTTTTTTCATCTAAATTGGGCCAGAAATGAACTGGAACAGTTATACAGACTAATTCAGAGTCAAGAACACTCATTTACTAATAGGCTACCAGGCATGGTAGGTGGATTCCTTTTTTGGTGAAACAATCATATTTCTAACCAAAATATCAGGAAATAGAGAAACTCAAGAGTTTGCAGAAAGTAAACCACCCCTCCAACAAATATTACACATCTAATATTTACACATCTAAAGTGGAAGAAAGGAACAAACATGAAGAGCTAAAAAAGGAATAGACTGACCCACACAAATTAAGAACAAAATGTCAGCAACAGACTATTACATACCAATAATTACTTTAAATGTAAATGGACTGAACTCACCAATTAAAAGACACAGGTATCACACTTCCAGACCTTAAATTATATTATAAAGTCACAATAATTAAAACAGCCTAGTACTGGAACAAAAACAGACACAGAGATCAATGAAATAGAATTGAGAGCCCAGAAATAAACCCACACATATATGGACATTTAATCTATTATAAAGGAGCCAAGAACATATGCTGGAACAAGGAAAGCCTCTTTAATAAATGGTGTTGGGAAACCTCGACAGTTTCATGCAAAATAATGAAATTAGATGACAATCTTAGACCATACACAAAAATCTGTTCAAAATGGATAAAAAATTGGGATGCCAAACCTGAAGCCATTAAAGAAAATATGGGCAAAACATTTCATGTAAGATGTGCAAGTTCTCTACCCAGATCGCCTTTGATAGTGTGTAGCCTAGCATACGCTCTAGATCTACCACCTGGGAAACAAAGATCCTAATATTTAGGATTTAAATTTGAAAGCTACTCTGCCTTTAATGTTAGCAAGGTCAAATCTATATATGAGACTCCCTTATGCTCCTGTTCATACTCTTCTGAAATTGCTGACTATCCACTTATGCAATAGGTTGAGGAAATAGGATATGTTTCGTACAGATCTACTCCTTTAATTTCTGTCTTTTTCTTGCTATTTTCTACTCTCAGATGTCTCCCTCCACAGCCCTGTTTTTTCACTGAAACCTGATAACTAGTCTACAGAAAAATTTAAAATGAATTAGATTAACACTTTTGGAGGGCACAGATAAAATATTGAACATGGATTTTGTCAGCCAGAATGATTAAGTTATTTTTAGGAAATTCTACCAGAAGTTCAATTTAAAGTGTTGTTTAACAGAGATTTTTGACATTTCTGCCTGTAGATTTATATCTGATAATCTGTTTCTTAGGAGGATAATTTGTTTAGGTTGGTGCAATCATTGAGAATGATTTTTTGGCATTGGTACTTTTTTAAATCATCATGTCATAGGTGAATCGAATATGTGTCCAAGGCTGCAAACCATTGTTTGATGCCAGTGATTCTCAAATTTTACCTGCATCGGAATCAACTAGAAGACCTATTAAAACAGTTTGGTGAGCCCTACCCTGGGGTTTCTGATACAGTGAGTCAGGGTAAATTAACTTTCTTAAATTTCTAAAAGTTTCCCAAGTGATGCTGGGACTAATAGCAATTTAAGTTATACAGAGATCCCTTGTTCAGATGCCTTTTTACTTGTGAGATCCAGGTAAATATTTGCCTAAGGTAATCAAATTTATGGCAGAGCTTATGTTTTCATGTCCCCTCACGTGGTCAATGTTAACTCGGCCTCTTCTTCCAGGTCACTTGTGAATAAAATAAACATCAATAAAAATATCCCCAGGAACCCAAGGAAGGGCTTACAGCATGCAACGAAAACACTTTCACAAGTGTTTCCACTGTTTCAGCAATAACCCTTCATTTCATGGAATCCAGCATCTCTTGATTATTCTCTTGTCTTGGTCTTCTTCACCCACCTGTCAGGAGGAAGAAAAATTCATCCCCACTCATGAAAAGTGGCAGAATTGTCACATGTTGTAGTCTTTTTTTTCCTACAAGATTCTGTCAAGGTATTACCCCAAATAAACATGGCTCCCATCTGGGAGTAATTCTGATGTCAGATGTTAAGTTAATGATTACTTTCACATTATTATTAAATAGACATTAAAATGAAGTACTGTAATAACTATTTGCATTTATCTACTATTACCTTTTCTCTAAGAACTTCAAAATGAAATTCTGACATTTTTAGGTCTTTACCTTTGTCATCTTTAATTTTTGGTTTCATTGTTATTGTCTGGAAAATTTATTTGATGTGTTCATTGTATGTATTTATTTTAAGAAGTTCCATTTGCAATGTCAGTCTGGTTGGGGGGGCAGGAGCAGTAGGTAAGGAGGGATGAGATGGGGTTATTGGCTATAAAAGGCCAAAATCAATTTGACGTTTAAATTTTTGAAAACTTTATAAGAAGTACATTTAACTAATTTAACTGATAACTTTGCTCCTTTTTCTCTTTTCCAGAGTTTGTTTATTGGCTAATTACTGTCATATTAGTTTGGAATGTGTGAAACTCAGTTTCTGCAAGAATGTCACCCTGGATGCTGTTAAGAGGCTTTGTAAAAACTGTAGACGGTAAGAGAACATTCGTTTTGCTCACTTGCCTCTCTTTTTAATTTTTTTAAGGGATTTATTTATTTATGCACACAAGAACTAGGGTGCTGGCCAGAGGTGTAGGGGGTGAGAAGATTCACCAGAGATAGAGTTGGGAGCAAAACAGGCAGAGTGACTGAAATACACTGAAATACACTGCTGAGCAGAAGCAAGTCAGGAGAGATCTACTGTACCATGTGGGTAGTTGGGAATTGAACTTGTGCTGCAGTGGCTGTGGACAGCTTCACAGGGCTGCATTTTAACCCCTTGCACCACCAGGGAGGTCCCTCTTTCTACCTTAAATGTTATCATAAAGCAAAGAGGAAAATTGATATCAACTGTGTATTTATATTTCTTTAAAAAGCCTCAAGTTGTTTCCATGTTACTAATAAGCAGTTCTAATAACCATTAAATCTTTTCCAAAAAATAGCTCCTGGTAACTTTACTTAAAATGAAACCAAGATGTTGTGCTGTCTCAAATACCTGAAAATCATATTTCCTTTGTACTTTGAAATACATAAACAGTTCAGAAAAAATATTTGTAAGGACTTAAATATTTTCAGTTATGCTAGCCTTTGTCTTTGGAGTATCATTAATTAGAATTATACAAAAAAGCTAGGGAAAGAAAAATATTTCAGGAGTTATCAGAGTTCAAGTCCCATATTTGAGAATTAATTAGTCCTAGTCCATTCAGTAAAAATTGAGCTTTTTGAATAAAATACAAGATTTTTATAATGAATTACTGTTTGAGGAATTGAGGAAATTGACAGAACAATAATTCTATATGGGTCCTAGAACTTTTGAGGTTTCATAACAAACAAAATAATGAACAATATGAATCAGTTTTATTTGAAAAGTGTAAATACTTTATAAAAATTAATTGATTCTGGCTTATTTCCATGTTGCTGCAAATTGCATGAGTTTATCTTTTTTGATTGCTGAGTAATATTCCATTGTGTATATGTACCACATCTTCTTGATCCAGTCATCTATTTTGGGGCATCTGGGTTGTTTCCATAGCTTAGCTATTGTCAATAGTGCTGCTATAAACATAGGGGTGCAGGTGCCCTTTTGAATAAAATACCAGATGGTCTCACTCATAGCAGGAATTTAGAAAACGTAAATAAGGGACCAGGAAAAAACCTAATTCTAATAAAGTAAAAATCAAAATCAACCAGCAGCTATAAACCAGAGATACACTACGGGGGTGGGGAGGAGGGAGTAGGATCAAAAAAAGGGGGGTGGGAATTGTATGGGGACTATAACCAAGATGAAAATGCACACATTGTGCAAAAATGAAAAATGATATAAAAATTATAAAATAAAATAAAATATGTAAAAAATAATTCACACAATGATTTGTTTGATACTGGAAAACGTGAATTGTGAGCTTAAAGATATAATAAAACCTACATTGTTAAAAAAATAAACTCTGAAGTTACAGTATTCGCAACAAATGTGCTTATGGGCAAAGAATTCTTCAACTATCTCATTGTGCAGTGCAAATGTGAGCCACTTTTTTTCTTTTTCTGTTTTATTCAACCATATTCTTTAACATTAAAGACTTGCAAATTAAGGAATACATGTAACATTATTAGAAATCATGATTCTGTATTTCCAATTACTACATCAGAAATAGTGTCCTATTAAAAAATACATAAAAAAATTAATGTCCCAGTTCATCGCTAAGCTGAGACTCTAGGGTATTGGTGAAAAGAGTTATTTGAATACCTAATCCTTTGAATACGGAGTTATATAATGCCTTCCAGAGGAATAGGGATGGTTATAGAATTTTATAGATCTCTTTCTGACTGATCTACTTGTCTCATTTTGTACTTTGGGGAATAGGAGTTTTAATCTTTTTTTAGACTAAAAAAAGATTAATATTTTAACATCTCATATTATAGAATTGGGAACTACTTTCATGTCACATAGAAATGTACATTTCTCCATTATTTTGAATGAATATAAATGTATCTCTCATCTAACAACGTACTCCCTAGAGCTAAAAGTAATTTTTGAGTGTTTGAGATCAATTTCATAGGCTTCCCTAGAAAGAAATCCATTGTGGTTTTAGAACTTGATCTGTCTGTTGTTAGAACATAGGTTTCAGAAAAAGTTGAGTGATTGCTAAGCAGATCTAAAATAAATGGTAAATAAATAGCAAGGAAATATTGATATAATTATTCCAGTAGTACCAAAATTAAAATAATGTAACCACTAATAGTTGTCTACATCTATTAATCCTGACTACTTTCTAAAAGGTTTTGGGAGTTTTTGTCATTAAAAAACTATTGTGTGTGTATGCATGCACACACACACACACACACACACACACACACACCCCTGGGCAATTCAAAATTATGCTAAAATTTTTTTTACCAAAAAAAAAAATTGATCAGAGATTAGCTGGAGAAAGAGCAGAAATTGAACTGAGGTCAACCTGAGTATTTTAATTTAATGCTAATGTAAATTAGAATTTGTTGACAAATAAGGCAGAGAGAAGGACCATAAAATCATGGTCCTTTTTACCTTCTAAGAGGACACCTGGAGATTTTTCATTAAAGAAAAAATGAATACATTCTATAAAGAATTTATCATGTATTTTTATAATACTCGTAAACTGAAAAATTATAAAATTGCACAAGATTTTGCAGATGCTGGCCAGTTGGTATTTTCTTTCTTTCTTTCTTTCTTTCTTTCTTTCTTTCTTTCTTTCTTTCTTTCTTTCTTTCTTTCTTTCTTTCTTTCTTTCTTTCTTTTTTTTCTTCTTTCTTTCTTTCTTTTTTCTTTCTTTTCTTTCTTCTTTTTTTCTTTCTTTCTTTCTTTTCTTTCTTTTCTTTCTTTTCTTTTCTTTCTTTTCTTTCTTCTCTCTCTCTCTCTCTCTCTCTCTCTCTCTCTCTCTCTCTCTCTCTCTCTCTCTCTCTCTCTCTCTTTCTCTCTTTATTTTTTTAAAGATTTATTTATTTATTTATACAAGCACTGGGTACAGTCAGAAGTGGGAGGGTGAGAGAATTCACCAGAGCCAGAGCAGGGAACAGAACAGGCAGACTGATGGAAATACACTGCTGAGGGGAGCAGCAGGCATGGCAGGAGAGGTCTGTCACGCCATGTGGGACCCTCACAGGCGGCTGGAGTTCGAACCGGTGCTTCAGATGCTGCAGGCAGCTTCGCAGCCCAGCACTCAACAGCTGCGCCACAAGGGGAGGCCCAGTTGGTATTTTCTTTAAAAACAAAACAAAACAAAAAAACTTTAGGCGTTACCATTAATAGAATTTCCACAGTCTTCCTGCATCTTAACACCGCCCCCTTTTAAAGATTTCACTTCTTTCCCTTTAAATTTTTTATTTAATTTTATTTTTTTAGAATTATGTTTCTAATAAATTTGAAGAATTTTTGGAGGTGCTGAAAGTAGATGACTGACTTGAAAATGAGGAGATTCTTTGCAAGTGTATTAAATCAACTTGTGCTGAGAATAAGTGAAATATTCTTTCCTCACATCTTGATATGGAGAATTACCAAAGTTTGCTATAAAGGATCAGATCATAAATATTTTAGGTTTTACAGGTCATGTGTGTGTGTTACAACTACTCATGAAAGTGAATGTCAGGACTGTGTTCCAATAAAACTTTATTTATAGGTGGTATTTTTCACAGTAGGGCCCAGCACTCTTTCCTTTGGAATATAACTGGCCATTACCTTCAGATAATCTCATTATTTCCCCACTAATGCAACAAATATTAAAAATATATTTGTTATTCTCAAGTTTTATGTCATCTTTCTCCTTTGAGCAACTAAGTAGTAGTCAAAATGGTTTTAAGAACTTTCCATAAATTGATAATGCTTAAAATCCAGGCTCAACAGTTTCCATACCATATAACCCAGAGTTTTTCCATTTTTCTTTTTTTTTTTAAGATTGAAGATTCTCCATCTCTATGGCTGCACCATCACTTCTGGCTTGTGCAAAATAAAAGAAGCTTACAAAAGAGTCAAAATATTTCATGACAATTCAGCCTTTACCCATTAATAGTTGAGGGAAATGTAATTTTTAGCAGCAAAGACTTTGAAGATATACATAATTAAATATGCCCAGAAATTTTCCAAATTAAAGGGAGGTATAAATTATATTTGAGTTTAGATGGAGATAATCAAGGGATAATCTTAAGTGAAATATTTTGGCATTCTTTACAAAATGAATGGGGTTTTGTGTGTGAAATACCCCCCGTCCCAAATAATGATAGGTTAAAAAGTACAAAATTTAAAATAGGGGTGTTTTCTTGCTTATTAGTATTATTGTTTGCAATGTATTTAAACTTTTACTTAAAATTACTAGATGGCACAATGCAATCTAATTTTCTTTTGCATTCAATGGCATGAGAGAAGAATCAATCAGATAATTCTAAAAGGAATATTTTTTCTTCAGTACCCCATAAATATTTAATTGTGTACACATGCTTTACATGCTGCAGCTATGTCAAGTATGGTGTTGATTTCTGCAGAACTTGTGTCATGTCAGAGCTCTACGGTGACTTCTAGGTAGTTCATGTACCCCACAGGGTCTTTCTCAAATTGAAGACACTACCACCCCTTTAGAAAATGAGTCTCTGTAGAGAATATTTCATGCCAAGGAAATAGTTGTGCACTGTCTTCAGTTGGGTTACCCAGACACTAAGATGAGTATTAATGTGGATGTGGAAGGTAAACTGGGGGTGGAGCAGGTAGAACTAGGAAGGGAAAGAAGATGAGCAATCGTGTACCACTACATCAAGCAGTGTCACTGGAAGATGACTGTCTCTATTCTACTGCTGAAGATTGGTAGGTAGAGCTCAGATTTATTCCACACAGAGGGCAAGGGAGCTGGGGTCTTTATCCCACCAATCATTGCTCAAGGCTTACTTCCAGAGGAGATACACGTCATTAGGCATAGGCAAAGTCTAGAAGCCTAAGGACAATTCTCTGACAAGTAACCAGGCTGATTATTGAGTAGAAATCCACAGGGATCTGAGGTGACAGAGCATCTGCTCCATACACATGAAGGGAAACAGGCAGCACCATAGAACAGGTAATGTGGGTTTGAATGTTCATTCCACGAGCTGTGTGATGTTAGTCATAATCATTCAGCCTGGGGTTTGGTATGAATAACTTGCACAATGCAACAGGTAAAGAAAAAACATACCTTCCAATTGAAAAATGGTCAAAGGATCTAAATAGGCATTTCATCTAAGAAAACATAAAGATGGCAGACAGAAGAAAAGATGTCTACATTGCTTATCATTAGGGAAATGCAAATCAAAAGTCCAGTGAGATTTTACCTCACCCTAGTTACAATGATATTATGAAAAAGTCAAGAAATAGTGTGTTGGCAAGGATAGGGAGAAAAAAGGAGCCCTTGTGCACTATTGGTGGGGATGTAAATTGGTACAGCCACTACGGACAACAGTATGGAGGGTCCTCAAAAAATTGGAAATAGAACTACCATATGATCCAGTAATTCCACTTCTGGGTGTTTACCACCCCCCCCCCCAACTATAAAATCACTAATTTGAACTAATTTGAAAATATATATCCACCGGGCCTCTCTGGTGGTGCAGACGGTTGAGCACCGCACTGTGAAGCTGTCTGCAGCCTCTGCAGCGCGGGTTCCATCCTGGCCGGCCTGTGAGAATCCCACATGGTGGGACAGACCTCTCCTGTCTCACCCGCTGCTCCCCTCAGCAGTGTATTTCATTAGTCTGCCTGTTCTGTTCCCTGCTCTGTCTCTGGTGAATCCTCTCACCCTCCCATGCCTCTGGCCTGAAACCCAGCACTTGTATAAATAAAAAAAAAAAAATCTTTTTTTTAAAAAAAGATATAACCACCCTTAGTTTCACTGCAGCACTATTCACAATAGCTAAGATATGGAAACAATTCAAGTACCCAACAATACATCAATGGATAAAGAAATGGCAGTATATGTAATACAGTGGAACAGTGCTCAGTCATAAAAAAAATGAAATTATGTCATGTTTGACAATATGGATGAACCCCGAAGAGATAACTCTAAGTGAAATGTCAGGAGAAAAGTAAATATTGTATAATTTTGCTCCTTTGTGGAATTAAAAAAAAAAGATGGAAAGAAAAAACAAAGCAAATGAAAACAAAGCACTGCGCTCTGACAACATGATGGTGGTTACTGGAGAGGCAGGAGAAGGGGAGAGCGTGAGTAGAGGGGCTGAGTGGCTGATGGTGGCTGGTGACTGGACCTTTGGCGCAGGTGTGGTGAGATTTACATAGTTACTGAAGTGAGAAAATATAGTCCTGGAAAGTGTACACCATTGCACATTAGTGTTACCTCAAAGGGAAAAAAAAATGGAAAGGCCAAGCACAAAATGGGAGATTGTCGAAGTATGTATTATGACAGAGAACTGGTTTCTAGGATATATAAAAAACTCTTACAATTCAATAAGATGAAAACCCAATTAAAAATGGATACAGGGTTTGAATGGACATTTTATATAAGATACAATAATGGCTGATACAACATGTTTTACCATAGCATTAATCATTCGGGAAATGCAAATTAAAACCACAATAGGATACTACTACACATTTATTGGAGTAGCTAAAATTAAGAAGACTGATGCTGCCAAGGGTCACCAAGGATGGGGAACACTTACAGAACTCTTACTGTGCTGGTGGGAATGTAAAATTCCAATTACTTTGTAAAACACTGAAGTTGCTTATAAAACTAAACATATAGCTACCATGTGATCCAGTAATCTCACTACTAGGAATTTACCCAAGAAAAATGGAAACATATGCTCTTTCATGCAAACACTAGTATAAGAATAGCTATAGCAGCTTTACTCACAACTGCTGAAATCTTGAAATACCCCAAATGTCAATCACCAAAGAAATGGATAAACACACTGCAGTTTATTCGTACAGCATAAACCTACTCATTATTAGAAAGGATGAATTACTGAATATGCAACAATATGAGTTAACACAAAAGTTATTTTGCTCAGTAAAAACAGCCAGGCATGGAAGAGTATCTACTATGTGATTCCTTTATGTGGAACTTTAGAAAAGATATGACCACATTAAGTGTAAACCCCTCAGGTCTTTGTCAAGGGTCTCTCACTAGAAGGTAGCTACTTCCCCGAGGTCAGCACAGACGATTGTAAGTCTTACAGCTCAGAGAGTTATATAAACTCATGTAATCACAAATGTGACTGTCCCATCATATTCAAAATGCCCTTGCTTTGAAAAAGAGGGATTATACATAGCAAGTGGCAATTCTGCGTATGATGGCTGGCTTTTTTTTTTTCCCGTCTCAAACTTGAACTAAGATGTCTCTGTCTCAACTTGAACTAAGGTGCTAGGGTAATCTGTAAATTCATTGCCACAAACATTTTCACCACAAACATTTTTGCCACACAACTAATTGGCCATAAAGCAATTTTGCTTTAAAAGACAAAGTAACTGGTTGATGGTTTGTTTGAAGTTTGGTTGCAAGTTTCTTCCACATAATGATGGCTTATTGAGTGGACAGATGATGATTTGCCCCAAGAGTTGGTTTCTCACTTTGACACACTTTATGTTGGAGGAGAAAGAGGTTGAGGGCTTTGAAGGATCAAACCCACATTTCTCACAGAACCTGTGGAAGCTATCAACAGACAAGTGACAATATGTAGAGAACAAACAATACGGTTGAAGGTTTTCACAAAGCACCACAAAATTCATAATGAATTTTGAATTCACATAATGTGCACCCTGCTACTTGAAAACTTAAAGTCATTAGGAATCACTTAACCAGTTCTGTTTGATTGATTCTTCTCTTGCATCCAACTTTTAATATACTGTGATAATATTGGTAAAGGCAGCATTAGAGAGCAAGCTTTTGTATTTAAATGGGCTAAAGGATTGGTAATATTCTTGAGGACTGTTGTGTCTTTCTAGCTGCCTCTTTAGTATTTTCTATGGCTTGGTAGATTTTTGGTTTTGATGGGAGGAGGAATGACTGTTTTCACTTGTAGGATTCGCAAAGCGCTATGTTATCATTTTCCAGAATGTGTCAGTTGAAACCAAACTGTTATGTGGCAAAATTCTTGCTGCAAAAACTGCTTGCGGCAAGGATCTTACTGAGAACCTTTTTTTCACTGTACTTCGCTCTCCTCTTCTCCTTCTCTCTCCCCCTCCCTCTTCCCTGCCTTCATAATATAAAATGCAAACTTTTGTTTTTAGACAAGAGAAAGATGCATGAGACTCATAGTTTGCTAATGTGAGAAGATGACAGGAACTTTGCTTGGCCATCATATTAAGGGGGATAGAAGTTTGTGACACTTTTCATTCAGTTCTAGCACTGAATACCTACTCTGCTCTTGTTTGTGAAATGGTGTTTAATACTCTTTGGAACATTATAGAAATAGTTAATTTTTTACAACAAAGATTTATTAAATCTGGTAACTGCCAACACACACACACATACAATAACGCTACTTATTGATTATAGATGCAATATGCAATCAAAGAGAAGTTCAACTGGGTCCATAGTGATTTACTTAAAAGAAATAGATTCATAGTAAATAGGATAAAATATTCACATTTGCCAATTATGGGTAGGGGTGGTCGGTGTTACATTATTCTTTTTTTTTTCACATTCACTCAGTCGATAAATCAATATGAAATCAATTTGCTTACATATTCTTCTTTGAAAACTTCAAAAATATGTCTTATAGTTATCTTAGGGATTTTAAGCCATAAGTAGCTATTCAAGAAGGTACTAAGGCTCAAGCTCTTCTGGAGGTGCATATGTTAGAGAGAGTTCATGAACTTACTAATTGGTCCCTCAGTAAAATGCCATTACTTGGATATCTGGATCCATCTTCATAGGTTTATCAGATCTTTCTGGGGCCACAAAATTGCAATGTTAAGTCTGGTTCTGAAGAAGGCTCTTGAACCTGAAGGAAATCCTATTGTATATATTACAACAGGCTTCCGCTAGAAACCGCTCTCATTTATGGGTGAAGAGAAGGTTAAGTGGTGGTTCTCATTCTCTGCTATATAAAGTTGGGTCCATTTGTAGTGGCAAGGAAGAAGTTCT